TGTAAATATAAGAAATATACATATAATGTGAATGTGCAGATTTGTTCTAGGGATAGGTTCAGTTTGTCATAAAATAAGGGTTAGAAGCAACTAAATGTGTTTCTATTTTTGCTTGTGTTGCATTTGAAGATTTTTTTTCTATATTTTCTGTGTTATTTTTTTATGTTTTAATACTTGATATTTTTTTTATCCTGGGTCACTTTTCTATGAGAACATAAAATAACTCTAGCATTTTGGTCATTAATTGGTACAGGATCATGATTGAACTGAAAATATAATGACATTATGGTAACATTTTGTATACCTACATAAAATAACTCTTTGAACAAAGCTCTTTAAAACCATTGTCATATACATGTATTTGTGATTTCTGATTTTAGATATTGAATGCTTTCTTTATTTTTTGTTTTACTGGTGATGTCCCTTCAGAAATAAAATATATATTTCTGAAACATTATTTGAGGAAAATTAGCAAATTGAAAGTTAAATTAACCTGATTCAAAACAATTTATGTAAGGGTTTTTTCCCCCCGCAAGTGGGAGTACAACCTTTAAAACAGCTGATCTTTTAATGATAATGTTATAGGTTTGAACATCCATACTTCAGAAATTCTGCATGTATATACACATACAAAACAAATCGAAATTCTTTTAAAAATATTTGTGGTTGTCTGATTGTAATAATATTTACAATATATAAATTCTATTTATTTTTACATCATTTTATTCTTATTAAAATTTTATAATCATCATTTAGTTTAATATCATTGTATTTATATTTTTTTTTTACATTAAGGCCCCCACTTTAAAAGATCCAGAGGCCACTTGAGGTAGAGGGGTACGTTAAGAGGCAATTTGTGTTTATAGGAGTGGAAGATAATGCTTAACCCTAGCTTTGAAATTATTAATGCAATACACTTAAAATACAACTGTAACAATTTTTATTGTTGCTTGGTTTGCATTAACACCATCAGTATTTAATTTGAAAATATTGTGAATGCAAAATTAGGTTTTTATTATAATTTATTCAAGAAGAAAATCTATACTTAAAAGAATGCTTGTATATAATTTATCATTTAAATTGTGGAGACTAGTACACTTGAAACCATTTTGATTATTAAAAGATTGACTGAAACAAATAAGTAATTATTTCCTTTGTCATTGATATAGTATCCCTTTAAATTGATTGTTTTTGTATTCTTTATAAATTTCAATCATCTAAAATCTAATGAAGAATTAATTAGAATATTAATTTTGATTAGCTTATATATGCTTCCTTAGATTTTACTAATAAAAACTCTTATACAAAAAAGTCAGCTGTAGTACTTGTTTTAAATCTTCACTTGTTTATTGGTATTAAGAAGGTAAAACAATCATCTATTTCAAACTCTTTTTGTAATTTGAAATTTTCAATTTATACATACACAGACACACACACACACACACACGCATGTAGAGCAAATAGTATTTATACAAAAATTATAAAATAAATATGTTATAACATCATTACAAAAAAAGCCATTTTGTTTCAACACTTCTGGTGCCTTTTCAAGTGATGCTGTTGATTGTTTTAATAAGACACCAGAAGTGTTGAAACAAAATGACTATTTTTGTAGTGATGTTATAACATATTTATGTTATAATTTTTAAATAAATAATTATATTCGCTCTACTTTGTATTGAGCGCTCTTTTAAGAATAGTTTTTTGGTTATTGGAATTTTATTTTGTCTACATCAATCCTATACTTGTGTGTGTGTGTGTATATATATATATATATATATATATATATATATATATATATATACAAGAAAAGACAAGAGAAACACTTTTATGCCAATACATTTAATTCCTTAAGGAATTTTATCAAGGTAAAAAAGTTTTTCTTTTGTCTTCTCTTTTGCTTATATTGTCTTTATAAATATATTTTATTTATATCTGAATTTTTGTACACACACAATCACACATTTCGATGCTTCTAACCATTATTTTATGACAAACTGAACCAATTCCTAGAACATATATATATATATATATATAGTTTTTCCCATTTGTACATTAGCAAATATACACATTCATATGATATGTATATTTTTTTTATTTATATAGAACTGAATATGTAAAAATGCACATATATATATATATATATACATATATATAAATATTGTCTACTTTGGCAACAATATTTTTTGTTAGTTTTGTTTACTGACCACAGATAAATTTTGTTCATATAGTTTGCATGATTTTTGTCTTTGTATTAGGTAATGAATATTTGAATCATGGGTATTTAAGAATTTGTCTATTAATTTGAGTAATTTCAACCCTCATCGATCATTATTAAGAATGGAATATTATAATTTTAAAATTTAAAGAAACTTTTTTTGATCTTGATTTTTTATGATAAAAATTTTTGACTTTAAAAATTATAACTTTCCAATTTTGATAATGACCAGTAATGGTTGAAATTACCCACATTTTTAGACAATTCTTAAATACTCATGGTAAAGTAAAATTCACTTATCCTTTTTAAGTAATAAACATCTCTTCACAACAAATAAACAACTACCAGAGTGAATTGTTTATTAGTAGTCTTCAATGAAGGACTTATTTCTTATTTTTTACTTTTTTATTAGATCACACACATACACAGAAAAAGACCTAAATTTGGTTACATTTTCATAATTTCTTTATAATAAACTGATTAGATACTATTTTGATACTGAATTATTTAATGAAATATTTCTCTCAAAGATGCAATTTTATTGATTACTATTTTCATTTAATCCTATGTACAGGTATTTGTAAAGTGATTTTTATAGGCTTCTCTTTTGACACACATTAGTTACAAGAAAGTATTAATAAAAAAAAGAAGTCATCTTCTATAATAACCTGATTTTTCTGTAATCATAATTAAAAAAATAATGAAAATATTACTGAGCATTCTGAAGTGAATCTTATTGGCTGTTTGAGATGCTAGCCAATAGTTACTCTATTAGTGAGTTAAATATAAATCAAAAACCAATAAATTATTACTGAAATTAAAGTATAATTTTTATGCAATCTTAAAAAGAAAAAAATAACTTGCTATCATGAAAATGTGTATATAAATATACTCAAAAATTATTTTTCATTTTGATTTAATTACTTATTAGAGTTAGACATTTTAAAATGGCCTGAAAATGCTCTAAATAGGAACAGATATTAGCTTTACCAAATTATTAAAGAAGGCAAACAATCCTTAAATACTTTTTTAATTAGGCACCTGTTCACATCAGGATTGTCATCCTCCCTCCTTATTCCATATCTTCCCTCTGGTTGTAGTGATGGAGATGGGTGTGAAAGCCTAGCCTACTTCTGAAGAATCATGAGCAGGAGTCAGAGCAGTTGCCATGAAAATTTTTGTAGAAAAGACAGAGGGAAGTCACATCATGTCTGTAAGAAAGTGACTGAGGTCGAGATGCCAAGTCAGGATTGATTACATTGCAAATCCTTCTTTGGATTTTGTCAAGAACCTAGAGATGAATAACAGGGGCACCAGATCAGATATGGCAAGATGGACTCTGATGAGAAAAACCTTCCCAATGAGCCAACTTCCCTTGCAGTAGATACAGCTATTGATTCAATGTAGATGATCCACTTCAATTCAGTTGAAAATGTGAGGCCAAGAAAGCTCAATGAGATGCTCTCCTGGAGTCAAGCATCAGCCATGCTGGTAGTGGGGAGGGAAGTTTCTCTATGGTGGTTAAATGAGAGCAGTTTAGTTTTGGAGGCATTAAAATTTACAAGCCATTTCCTGCCCCAGCTAATGACTGATTGGCGGTCTTTTTCAAGAACAGTGACCAGGTTAATTTTGTCAGTTCTGACAGATTTGCTATTGAGACAGGAATAAATGTCATCTGCATAAATGACTACTTGGAAACTGATGACATCAGGAAGATCATTGATGAAAATCAAAAACAGCATAGGACCCAGGATAGAGCTTTGCAGGTGGGGTCATCCACATTTGTGTGAAAGTACCTGAAAATTAGCTCATTTAGAATGATTTTCATTTCACAATTTGATAGGATTGATTGGAATAAATGAAACGGTCATCCTGTAATACAGTAGCCCTGAAGCTTATGTAGAAGACCAGCATGCCAAACCCTGTCAAACACCTTTGACATATCTAGAAGCACAGCTTGAGCTTGAAATATATATATATATATATATATATATTCATTCAAACATGTTTCATTGAATGATCTAGACATATTATGTCTACTTATTTTTATAATCCTTTCCAGCTCTCTAATCAGTTAGTTCCTTGATGTTAATATATATATATATATATATATATATATATTCATTCAGACATGTTTCATTGAATGATCTAGACATATTATGTCTACTTATTTTTATAATCCTTTCCAGCTCTCTAATCAGTTAGTTCCTTGATGTTATATATATATATATATATATATATATATTCATTCATATGTTTCATTGAATGATCTAGACATATTATGTCTACTTATTTTTATAATCCTTTCCAGCTCTCTAATCAGTTAGTTCCTTGATGTTAATATATATATATATATATATATATATATATATATATATATATATATTCAGTAATGGCCATTAGCACATTGGTGGTAGACTGGGCAAAATGGAATCCATATTGTTTGTCAGGGACTAGATCGTGAATGGTAAGATGCTCAGCATTGATTAAAGCCACAAATACTTTGCCAAAAATTTGTAAGAGACTAACAGGGCGATAGAGGGGTCAGAAGGTTCTTCAGAGTTTTTAAAAACAGGGACTACAAAGGAGGACCTCCAACAAACTGTAAAGCAGGAAGCAGTGAGGCGATAATTGTAGAGATTATATTTATTTTTATTTACATAAATTTCTTATTGCCATGCAATCAAAACATTTTAATAAATTGAGTATTTAAAATAAAAATAAAAATTAATTTAGTGACAAAATAGGAAATATAATCCAGAATTCTCAATATTTGTATAAGTTAAAAAATATTCTATTAAAATTCTTTCTCTGTTTCTGTCACATCTTTGTCTTTTCTTTCTCTGCTCCATCTCTCATCTTTTCCCTCCCTTCCTTGTCTCTCGTCTTTTCCCTCCCTTGCTTGTCTCTCTCCTTTTCCCTCCCTGCCCTGCCTTTCTCCTTTTCCTTCCCTTCCTTGTCTCTCATCTTTTCCCTCCCTGCCCAGTCTCTCTCCTTTTCCCTCCCTTCCTCGTCTCTCTCCTTTTCCCTCCTTTTCCCTCCCTTCCTTGTCTCTCTCCTTTTCCCTCCCTTCCTTGTCTCTTGTCTTTTCCCTCCCTTCCTTGTCTCTCTCCTTTTCCCTCCCTTCCTTGTCTCTCGTCTTTTCCCTCCCCTGCCCTGTCTCTCTCTTTTCCCTCCCTTCCTTGTCTCGTCTTTTCCCTCCTTCCTTGTCTCGTCTTTTCCCTCCTGCCTCGTCTCTCTCCTTTTCCCTCCCTTCCTTGTCTCTCGTCTTTTCCCTCCCTGCCCTGTCTCTCTCCTTTTCCCTCCCTTCCTTGTCTCTCTCCTTTTCCCTCCCTTCCTTGTCTCTCTCCTTTTCCCTCCCTTCCTTGTCTCTCTCTTTTCCCTCCCTTCCTTGTCTCTCTACTTTCCCTCCCTTCCTTGTCTCTCGTCTTTTCCCTCCCTCCTTGTCTCTCTCTTTTCCCTCCCTTCCTTGTCTCTCTCCTTTTCCCTCCCTGCCCTGCCTTTCTCCTTTTCCCTCCCTTCCTTGTCTCTCTCCTTTTCCCTCCATTCCTTGTCTCTCATCTTTTCCCTCCCTGCCCAGTCTCTATCCTTTTCCCTCCCTGCCCTGCCTTTCTCCTTTTCTCTCCCTTCCTTGTCTCTCGTCTTTTCCCTCCCTTCCTTGTCTCTCGTCTTTTCCCTCCCTTCCTTGTCTCTCGTCTTTTCCCTCCCTGCCTCGTCTCTCTCCTTTTCCCTCCCTTCCTTGTCTTTCATCTTTTCTCTCTCTTCTCCATTTCTCTTCTTTTCATGAAATACTGCTAAAACAATATGTAAACACACATTTGAATACTTATTTAAGTTCATGTATTTATGAATATATATATATTTACTCACATATAATCATAAGCCCATATCCTTAAATGCATCTATATATACATAAATACACACACACACACACTCTTATACATATAAATATATTTAAAGGTTAAAATTTTTTTTTTCATGTTACAATATCATCAATAAGGTCTTGATTAATTCCTTTCATTTCATGGCCCAATTTTTTGGAATTCATGTTTCTTGCTTTCTCATTAACACAACACAGACTGATTAAAATAAAATTATAGATTTTCTCAGCTGGATTCATGCACTCAACACAATCTGACTTACTGACCAAACAATAAAGCAATGTTTTTATTTTCATTTGTTAATATTTTTTTTCAATATAATAATGAATAGATTAAAGTAATTTAGAAAAAAAAAAAGAAATGTAAGTAAAATATAAAAAAAAAGAAAGCAGAACAATATAAATAAATCAAAACCACCAAGGGTTCATAAATTTGAAAACATAATTAAAAGTGATTATTTTGATTTTATATTCATTCTTTATTTCTTTATTTCTGTGATGCTATGCCATTTCTTTATTAAAAAAAAAAAGCAATTGGTGTTGAAAAATCAATAAATTTTTTCATTTTTTGTTAGTAATTTTTTCACTTTTGTTTTGTGATTGTCTGAAGAACATTGCAATTTAATTTTTGCAAAGACAGTTTATTTCTTTACTGAAGATCTTATTCTTTTAAATTTTAATTTAGATTTTAATGTTGCCTCTAAACTATTTTCTTTTATATGAGTTCCATTTTTTAATACAGTAAATTACATGATACTAGTTTTATATATGAAGAAGAGTAGTGATACATTTAAGTGTTAATGTTTTAAAACTATTTTTTGACTTCAAATTTTCTCTGTAGTGTTTTTACATTCTTTATAAAAAATATGATTAACAAAAAATTTCAAATTTTAGTTTAGAAATTTAAGACTTATTGTCATGATTCTTTTACAGTCAGAAATAGGACTATTCTTGGAAATATAATAGTCCAAATATAAACTCTTGAAATATTTTTTTCCAGAATCAATATACAGCATAATTATTTCAATGACTACTAACTCTATCATAATTACAGAAAAATCAATAAGCTACTTTTGTTATAAATATATTTGTTGCAACTTTGAAGTATTTGCAAAATAGGTTATTTTTAATTGAAGTTGAAAAACAAGAGAAATTATTTTAACAACATTTTATATAAAGAAGACAATAACAGTATCTTATTGCAAGCGTTTATATTTTTTACCTATGTTGAAAGCTTACCTATGTTGTGTGTGTGTGTGTGTATATACACACACACACATACACACACACATCAGCTTGTTATTCAATATAAATATTAAGAAAGTAAGAAAGAGAAACTATTGTTTCTTTTTTTTTTCTTAAAATTATTATTATTCTTTTTTTAATCAGATTTACCCCAGGAAAGGCAGTAAAGCCACTGAGACACAAGGGCTTACTGGGTGTAAAAGAATTAGAAAACAGAAACATTACTCTTCTGTTGCTCTCACTCCTTAGTAATCAGGAAGACAGTAGATAATGATTGTTATTGCATTTAAACTATTGAAGATCAATTTAACTGGATGACCTGGTGCCAGAAGAGAGTTCCACAAGTGAGAAGTGTGAGAAAAGAAACTGTTAACATAGAACATATGGTAATGTCTAGCCAGTTCAACTGTAAATTGATGATGTCTTGTTACCAATCTAGTACTGCGATTGAATTCATAAAGTATAGGTATCATAACGAAGAACCCATTTGAACAATTACAACAAAATTATTTATAGAAAAGGCACAGGTAGACAATTTTATGGCAGTGGGAAAGTGACTGAAGCCAAGATGCCAGGTCAGGACCAATAATATTGCTGATTTTATCAAAAATCTCTAAATATATAGTGAGAACACTGGACCATATGTGGCAGCATTTAAGGTCCTTAATTATTTCTTCCTTTCTTATATATTTTTAGATGTTTTTAGCTATTTATATTCAGACTATTGTCTTGATGTTTGTTGTTATCACAATGTTTCAGCCATTGTACTCTCCCGCCTTCATCAGGTGTATATCAATCTGGGTAACCTACAGAGAATTCTGAACTGAACCTTTTATTTAATCTACAGGGGATAGACTATTCTCATTTCATTGCCCATGCCTAGGTATATTGTCTGATTCTTATTTCTAGTATTCTTCTTTGTCCCATGTCTGTTCAGGTTATAGGCGATCATGACTCTCCACAATTTCCTGACTTTTGTAGCTTTTAATAAATTTTATCTTTTTCTTATCTCTCCTAAACTCTGTTCTGCCAATCATTTAATCAAGCTCACTCTTCTTCTTCATTTTTGTACCATGTGCCTTCAGGATGTAGGCAATCATGGCTCTCCTCAATTTCCTTCCCTTTGTATCTCTTAATAAATTTGATCTTCTTGTTATCTCTCCTAAACTCTGTTCTGCCATGCATTTACTCAAGTTCACTAAGTAGGTTATAAATTTCCTCTCTCCTTCTTGCCTTCATTCTATCTTGTGAGTATCAAATTTTTGAAACCCTCTTTTCTTGTTATGTGTCCTAGAAATTTCAACTGTCACTTCCTGATTTTAAATATAAGTTTCCTTTTAGTTTTGATTTTCTCTAAAACTTTGTTGTTGCTCACATGTTTGGTCCATGGTATATTAAATTAAGTAAAGGGACTATTTCAAAATTCTCTATAAGTTACCAAGATCAATATACACCTGAGGAAGGAAACATTGTAATAACAACAAAAATGACAATAGTCTGAATATAAATATTGAAATAATGATAACTTCTTATTGCAGAAATTTAGACAGAAATTTTTAACTATTTTAAAGACTACTATGTGTATAGAAATGCAATTTTGATTCTCTATTTTAAGATATTTTTCTTAAATTTCATATTTTTAAAGACCCTATAAAAAGACCCCACAAAATAACATTTTTTTATATAAAAAACTTTATAAAAAAGGATTTATCTAAATTTTTACTATATTCACCATTATTTTTCCTTATTACACATTTATTGCTGGTATATGAACTATTTATAATATAAACTACATTACAATAATTACTGTTTTTGCTGTCACAAATCCACCACAATTATTATTCTTAGAATTTGTATTTCTTCATTATGGATGAAAGTGGTGGTGTGGGGGTTACAATAGTTGTTTATTTATTGAATTTCAAATGTTCCAGTTATTTCTTATCATTTGTTACTTTTTTTACCATAATTGTCATCATCATCATCATCATTATTTTAATTATTTATATTAGAGTTTTATGTTTTACTAAAAATTAATTATTTTTTTTATTAATATTTATTGTCATTGATTAGTTTTTATTATGATTTTATCAAAATTTTGGTTCTCTTTTCAGGGTGCAGGACAACTCAACACCGCTGACTGAGCGCCAGGACACTCAGCACCAGAAAAACACATTTTTTTATAACCGAATAAAAGTAAGTTATTATAGATTAAAACCTTAATTAGTGAATATTTTTCTTCAAATAAGGTATTTGATAAAGCATTATGTAAAATATAAACCTGTTTTTTGAATTTATTTTTTTAATACAGTAAATAGTAAAGAAATTTATTTTTTAATAAAGTAAATAATTTCAATAATTCACAATATTAAATGTTATAATATTTTTATAAAAATATTTTAGAATTTCAATTTTCTTTATTAAAAAATAAATTACATTATGATGTATTTATTAAAAATAATTAAAAACAAAAACTGGTTCATATTTTACATAGTGCCTTATTTAAAGAAAAGTATTCACTAATTAAGGTTTTAATCCTTAATAAATTACTTTTATTTGGTTATAAAAAAAAGGTTATGTGTTTCTGGTGCTGAGTTGTCTCGGTTCTGAGTTGTCCCTTCCCGATCTTTTCAAACTTGCAGTTTTGCTTGGATTGTATGAATCTCATTTTTATATTTTGAATTATTTTTCTTTGAATTGAAAAATATATGTTACTTATTTTGATAAAAAAATAATTTGTAGACTCAGCATCTGTGTATTTTTATATAAATGTGTTTACAGATGGACATAAAAATAAAGTGTAATACCACATAATAGAGAATGTAAAACAATTGATAAACAGAATGAAGTATAAAGATGATAATCTTTTTAACATTATGCACTATAAACTTTGTGCATATGTATGAAACAATGATTGTGTGAAATGCTTATTTGTGTATAAGCATACATACATACACCCCCCCTATATATATATATATATATATATACACACATATCTTTTTTTTCTACATACATGTGAAAGCACATCCAATACTCTGCCAACCAGGGGAGGTAACACAGTTTTAGTGGCTAAGGTAGTACTGACACCATATGCACATAGCTATACAAAAGATACATTTACATAAACATTCACATTAATACTCTACCTAAAACATATATCTTTTAACAACATACAAGAAACGAGTCTGTTATAACTTTTCATATCAAAGAAGAGGGGGGGAAAAGAAATAATATGGCTTAGTGACCCTTTTTTATTTGTTGAAATAAATAAAGGACAAAAAATTGAATGAGATGACAATTCAACAATGTTTACTGTTTTTAAGTTAGGCTATTAGGTATTTAATATAATTTGCATTCCATCAATTACAGATATTGAGGTGATTGTTGTTGTTGTTGTTGTTATAGTTGTTGTTAGTTTTTGGTTGTCTTGCTTTATCAGGTGGTACTGAAAAGTTCTCAGCCTGACACTCACTCCCCTAAATTTGACCAAACATCAGATTTTTTTTTTATTTTTAAATCCAAAAAGTGTTAGGGTTGAGAAATTTTTCAGTACTCCCATTGTATTTTGTTGTCTTTTTATTCATTTAGTAAAAGGTGAAACCCTTTTCTTTTTTTCTATCTTTTCATTTTTTTTTTTTAATAATTTCATTCTATTTGTGTTGTATACAAATTTCAA